CCCTGTATTAATCAACAGTAGTGTTATTGTAAGTTGGTTTTGACAGAAGAATTCATGAACCTTACAGCATCATGTTGCCAATATGCCCTGTTTTGTTTTGCAGTGGTGTTTTTGTGAAGTTTTGTTTCAACAGGAGACTAATTCATGAGCCCCGTATTCTTGATAAGATGCTCTGTCTTATTTTGCAATGGTGCTTTTGTGAAGTTTGGTTTTGGCAGAATAACTCATAAAATTCATGTCAAATTACATGTCTTTATACAACTGTGTTAGAAATGGCACTTTTGAATTCTCATGAATAAGAAGTTTACTTACTATTACGTTTTTTTAATTGTGTATTCCAAGTGCTCATGTTTATACTTTTAGGAATATGTTTAGTAATTGTATATATGGTTTCTGTGGAGTTGATGTTTATAACAGGTAGTCTTTAAAACATGGGCAGTTTTTTTTTTGTTGTTGTTGTTTTTTGCTTTTGTTTTTCGAGACAGGGTTTCTCTGTAGCTTTGAAGCCTGTCCTGGACTAGCTCTGTAGACCAGGCTGGTCTCAAACTCACAGAGATCCACCTGCCTCTGCCTCCAGAGTGCTGGGATTACAGGCATGCGCCATCATCACTGCCCAGCACATAGGCACTTTTATACATACATATTATCCTGCTAAAGAAATGTTATAGGTTTGTTTACTGTCTTAATTTTGGCACTGTTCTTTGATGTCAAGACATTTTGTGTAAGTTTCTCTTAGCAATATTGTACAGTATAGAATATTAGATGATTTAGTCATATTAGCCAATTTAAGCATCTTTTAGTCACTTCATCCCCTCCCCTCATAGTACCTAAGGTGCTGTTGTTGAGTGTAATTTCTTTGATCAATTAAGAGTAGTGTTTGATTTTATAATATTTTGTCTTCAAATTGATTGCATGTTTGGTGTGTACTTTTGTGTGGTAGAAAAAAGCAAAAATAAAGTAACTGTTTGGAGAATTAAAAACAGCTTGCTTGTGTGAATGCGTTAGCTAGAAAATAAGGAAAGGGGAAAGTTGCTGCCATCAGGTCAGTAACAATCAGTAATGGTAATTCTAACAAAACATTTGATAGTGCACAGGACAGTCACTGGTGACAAAGAATTATCTAGCCAAACTGTCTTTTGTGTCACTATTAAAAAACTGTGCTCTGGAGAAAGCAAAAGTTTTATAAAGTATTTCAGAAGTATACTTATAAACAAAGCATTAATGGACAAGGAGTTGTTTAGATGAATGAAACATGTCTGCTTCACACACATCCATTCTCACCTTGCCATCATTGGCAAATTCAGAATTTAGAGGGTTAACAGTACCAACTGCAAGCCTGGAAGACAATTGGAAAGTATCCATAGGGTCAAAAAACCAGTGCTATTGTGTGACCCCACATTTGTTCACTTGCCTATGCCTGTTTCTGTTACTAGCAACTAATTCATACAGTATTATGAATTAGTTTGTTTGGAAGAGATTCTAGTGCATGAAATAAGGAGGGGTTTTCTTTGGTTTTGATTGTTCTGTTGTCATAGCCCAGGCTGCCTTGAAATTCACAAGGTAGTCCATGCTGGCCTGTAACTTGCAGCAATTCTTCCTCAGCTTCCCAAGTGCTGAGATTATAGGCATGACGCACCATGTATAGAATGACTTATCTTTATTTTTTAATATTCTGTCTGTTTAGTGAAGTTAGGAGAGAGGTGGGTGTGGCCATGTGCATGCTATGGCATGCATTCGAAGATCAGAAGACAACTTAAAGGAAATCTGTTGTCTTCTGCCGTGTGGGACTTGGAAATGGAGCTCGGGTCGTCAGGCTTGGCAGCAAGAACCCTTACCAATCTAGTGATAGAATTGGTCCCTTTTATTTTATTTTTTAATGAAGCTTTGAAAGTACTATAAGAAAGTGTGAGTATATTATTACAAAGTGGGAAAGATTTATTACAACAGAGCCAATGGACCATATTGGGGTTTCTGTTTGTTTGGGGTTTACTTGTTGCTGCTGTTTATTGGACCAGGGTTTGTTTCCCTATGTAGCCCAGGTTGGTCTCACTGATGACCCACCCTGCTCTGTGGACTGTTATGTTGACTCCAAGACAGCCATAGCCTTCCCTGGTTCGGTATCCCACTATTATTCTGTTTGTATCAAAAAGTGAATTGATCATATTAAAAAATAATTTACACTTAAAATAGGATGAGGTAGAATTCCCCCCATTTATGTATATATTTATTTTTAGAGCTAAAAAACTGCATTTAAAAAGTAGTTGATAAAAATATTCCTCTGGAAAGCCAGATGGTGGTGGCAGACACCTTCCTTTAATACCAGCCCTTGGGAGGCAGAGGCAGAGGCAGGTGAATCTCTGAGTTCAAGTCTAGCCTGGTCTACAGAGTGAGTTCCAGGACAGGCAGGGCTGTTACACAGAGAAACCGTGTCTCAAAAAAAAATAATAATCCCCTATATTATACAAGGAGGGAGACAGACATGATGTATGGTTCGTCAGACTTTTGTACTTCAGAGGCTGGACTCCCGTGTCGGTCTCTTGGTTGTTTTTCTGCAGGTAGATCTTTAGTTTCTTGGTCAACCACTTCAGCCTGTTTGTCCATTGCTCCCCTCTTCCCTTTCGTTTGCACTTTTTTGTCTAATGAACCATAACCTCCCCTCCCCCACACTCATCCTTTGAGGCCTATTTTGGCTTGGGGCAGGCCTTAGCAGAGTAATTGCCTGCCACCTATTGGAGCAACGCTTGGCTTTTTTACCACAGCTGCAGGCGCGCCTTCCCAGAGCCCGCCTTCCCTGGGCGCGCCTTCCCAGAGCCCGCCTTCCCTGGGCGCGCCTTCCCAGAGCCCGCCTTCCCAGGGCGCGCCTTCCCAGAGCCCGCCTTCCTTCCCCAGGGCCCCTCCTTTCTAGGGCCCCGCCTTCCCAGGGCGTGCCTTCCCAGGGC